TGATCATCCATCCATTCTTCCTTGCCGTCAGTGAGCCATGGAGTGGCTGCAGTGATAGTGCTCAAGAAACTCTTTAGACACCCTTTTGATGCTCCAAAGCAATGTTAGGTCAAGAAGGCACCATAAAAGTGAGGCGAGGCGAAGCTCTGGGAGCTGTTCAGAATGCCAGGGCAGACTGTTTTCTCCACCCACCCCCTTTGAAGGGAGGCCCCAAGGCTGACATCAGCAGTGGGCCTTGCCAGGTGTCAGTGCTGACCTTGATGTTTTTCCAAGCCAACAATGGACATACTTACTTCCCCCCTTTCCCCCTCCTTCAGTATTTTGTTCTTATAGCCCTTTCCAATTGGTTGATCGTGACAAACATTCCGCAGTGGCCGGGCTGGCCACACACTCAGACTTGTAGCAAGCCGGGGTCAAGGTCACTACTGACGCACACAAGTGTACAGTGGAGAAGGGGGAACATAAAACGTTAGATTGTACATTGCATACTTGTGGGGCAGCTGAATCAGGTTAGAAACGGGCCCTGCATGCAACAAGGAGGCTCTCTCTTACGGAAGCGAAGTTAAAAAGAGCTCTGTAAATACCGGATTGGCTTCTATTTGCTATGGAGGATCTAGAAGTGAGAGCATCTGGGTGAAGGTAGGGGTGTTACACAGAAATAGCTAAGAGAGGTGTTAAAAAAGACAATGAAGACAACAAAAATTGGGGGCAGACCCACACCATACATTTAAAGCACATGGCCTCCTCTAAAGATTCCTGGGGACTTTAGTTTCTTTCTGCCCCCAGAGCTACAATTATCAGCACCTTTGACAAACTAGAGATCCCTGGCTTCATTTGGAGGAAGTGATGTGCTTTAAATGTGTGCTGAATATGCTTGTTGGTCACGAGGAAAGGAGTGTGTTGTGCAAGTTCCACTTTACTTGAGGGAAAAAAGAGCCAGCTATTAAACTGAGAGCTGACAGCTTTCCATCTCCTACCTTTCTGTAACGCTTTACTTCTAAAAGATAATGACTGTAATGATAGTTCTATTTCTGTGGAGAAGGAAGGCTTTTTGATGTGGGAGCGTGGGCGCAACTCCCTCCCCCCATCCTTTCCACATATATATTTGATGTATACATGATTCATTTGAAGTTGTATAATGTAATCCCTCAGAAACTGACAAAAGTCAATCATTCCAAACCTTGCAGAATCAGGCATGCTTTTATTATTAGCTTAACAATTATGGAGAGAATTGGTTTAACTTCGGCAGTCTCCGCAACGTATAACGATAATAGTTCAAGGGGCCATCCATGGAAAACATGAATTTCTCTAAACGGTGCTCCATCAGCAATCAGCAAGGCCTTCCTGATGTTTCAGGATAAAAGAAAAATTAGCTAATCCTGAAACCAGGTGGAAACCGCATGCAATTAAATGTAAGCCAGGGTGCTGTGATCCAACAGTTTGCATTCAGATAAAGTTTCTGATGCGCACCTGAAACTCTCCTTTGAGTTTTACAGTCGTATACAGTATAGAAGAGCCCCAGCTGTGTATCAGAGCACACCTGAGGCTCTGGAGTTTCAAGCCTTTTTGAATCTGAATTAGCTATTTCACAGTGGGCAGATCAGCTGAGCAGCTTCTCAAAACCACTATTTTTCAAGGGGGGTGGGAAAGAGAATCAAAAGGTCTTTTTCATTTGTAACAGTGTTTAAAATGATAAAAACACGCATAGCTCCACCAGTATTTTCCAGCAAAACTGTAATGAGTTTCTGAAATGCAGGTAGGCGTTTCAATCAAATGTTAGTACATTCTAAGTGGAAGAAACATTTCTGTTACTTGTGTCTTAATCTCTTCTCATTGCAACTGAAAAAGGGCTATGGGAAAAGTGATATAATAAATAAGAAGGGCAAGTGGGAAAGAAATGACTTGTAAAAGAATGTAAATCGCACCGGGTTGTTCCTTTTTTCACTCTGAGCTGGTCCGATGAGATTGCAGATTAAGAAAAGGGTGTGCTATGTGGTGTATTCAAAATAAATTAAAGTTCTACATTAATCTAAGCATATTATATTTTTTCTCTTAGCCTGCCTTAGGCGATTAAGAATATATTAACTTTTGGATTAACAACAATAATAAGACTTTTTAAGGGCACAGGCAAAAATGTATAAAATGCAGTCCATATTTACATTGCTCGAAATGGAAGCAGACTTTGTTATTTACTAACAGGGTTCGGCGACAGTATCTCCAATGGCAGACGATGATAACGGGAGCTGTACTCCCAACAGCATGAGGAAAGCCATGGTTAGCATTGTTCTAGATAACTTGCAACCCTCTAGTTACTGTTGGACTCCAAGTCCCATCTTCCACTGTGGCCAATGGGCAGAGATAATGGGAGCTGTAGTCCAACAACATCTGGAAGGCCACAGCTTCCCTACCCCTGGCTTATGTTAATGTTGAGAAATGTGGTTATAAATTCAATGTGTAGCCACTCTGGGAAGATATGGAAGCTCCCTGGGCTTATGGACAGTGCAAATTTAAACTGATTAAAGCATTCCATCTTCCCAGGGAACCCTGAGAATCCTAGACCAAGGATCTCAAACAGAAGTTTTCTGCAACTCACCAACTGCAATTCTCCTCCTCCTCCTCTTCTTCTTTTTTTTTTTTTGGGGGGGGGGAGGAAAAACCATGACAGTTAAAGTGGTATAAGGTTGATGGACATTTCTGGTGTACTGTTTCTCCCTTGTTTTTTTCATTACGATTTGTGGAAATACATGCCATTATTGCTTAGATTGGTAGTTGTATGTTTACATTTTTGAAAAGAACAATAACAAGAACCATTTATTTTTAATCCCACTTTAGCCACAAAGCAGGTTTTACATTAGTAGCAACCTTATAAAAAACAAATACCGGTACTCAAAAAAAGAAAGAGAAACTTATTTTACAATATTTTGTAAAAACAGCAAAAAATAATAATGGTATATTGAAGACTAAGGATGAAAGCCTATGACTTACACATGGAAACCAAGCCCATTGAAATTGGTGGGATCTACTGTTGAGAAACATGCACTGGACTGGACAGCATTGCATTTTTACAGTGGTAAACATGCTTACTTGGAAGTAGAGCTTTTTGAACTTCTTAAGACTTTCAACTAAGGCTGCTCAGAATTAGAAGTGTCATTGTCATTTGTGAAATCGATGCCTGCTTTTTAAAAGACTCACGCAACTTGGGCCCCCCAGATTTTTCTGAACTGCAGGTCCAATCACCACCAACAATTGGCCATGATGGCTGGGGATTATATGGGTTGTGATAACACTTGAGGACCCAAGGTTGGGGAAAGCTACGCTAAAGGGTGCAATTACCCTTGCAGCACACAGTAATCTTGAAGATCAGCTGAAGAATAGCTATTCTAATATATCCATTTAAAGCATTTTATCCTCCATAAAAGGCGTTCCAGAGCAGCTTGCGTAAGATCAATAAAGACAGTCTCTTCCTGCAAGCTGTTTCAGGCAGATTCCATAAAACCACAATGACTCATGACTCAGGTAGCAGTCCCAACCCCCTAACTAGGAGTAAGCCCCATTGAATTCAACAGAACTTACGGTACTTATAAATAGAAATTGATTGTACTGTTAAATCAGGTAGAGACCAATTTTAGTGACAAGTTACATGTTTTAATTAGACCCTCAGTGTTACATTTGAATTGTTAGGTGGCTCCATCTGTCAATTTTTGATTTCTAATAATGAAAATAATTTATTAAATGTCTTTACCACCCTCCATCTGAGGATCACAGCGTAGTTTACAATAGAAAAACACAAAAATACATACCATAACAAACATAAACAATGCTCCTCCCCTACAGTTTAAAAGGCTATATGTTATTTAATTAGCCAAAGACCTGGGAGAAGAGGAAGATTTTTGCCTAGTGAGCCTCCTTGGGGAGAGCATCCCCAGTGCCGATTTACATATAAGCTAAAGAAGCTATAGCTTCGGGCCCCACTCTCTTGGCCCCCCCCCAAAAAAAAATTAAAGGAAAAAACCTGGATGCACATTTCCAAAATATAAGATAAAAAACAAATAAAACCTACATACAGCAAGTGTTTGGTGGTGTGTAGGCTCCTATGATGTAAGTAATGGTAAGTAAATTACCATATAGCATATATTCAACACAAAAAAACAGTGCCAATTTGTTGTTGACAAAGGACAGCTGGACATATAAAGGGCCCCATTACCTTCAGTAGCTTAGGGCCTCATCAAACCTAAATCTGGCCCTGAGCATCCCACAAGCAGGGAGTCACTGCAGAAAAGGGTCCAGGTCGGTTCATATGGGGAGAGGTGGTCCTTAGATTGCAGACTCTTCAATTGTCCCTATTTTTCCTGGGACAGTCCCGGATTTATAGAAGCTGCCCGTTTCTGATCTGATCCCAGAATGTCCCGCTTTCCCTTAGGATGTCTCTATTTTCACCGAAGAAATGCTGGAGCGTATGAGACTGTAGATCGCTTCATCAAATGCATGAAGTGTTATTCTGAGTTGCTGGTGCGCACATATATGTGCATGTGCTTGTCTATTTTGATCTATGTGGTTCCGGTTGGGCAAAGAATTGTAAAGGAGCAAGAAGAAAACGAAATACCAAAAATCCACATTGTTAGCAGCGGCTATTCACAAAGCAAACAAAAACAGCATTAGACGGCACAGACCCGTCCAGGCTGAACACCCCAAATAAGCAAGCCTAGTGTGGCATGCCATTGCCCATTGCTGTCTTCCTGCCTTGACGAACGCAAAGCAGAGGCGGCTTGGGCCGGGGTCCGTCCCCACGAACGTCCCCTCTCTCCCCCCGCCCTCTCGTGCCCCCTCGCGCTCTTTCTCTACAGCTGCCCCCTCCTTCCCTCCCCTTATCTCTCGGAGCCCTTCCAGTGACGCGGGAGATAATGACACACACGCGGTGACGCTTTGAACTTGCCTCCTCCTCCTCGCCCGGGGCGGGGGAGGAAAGGTAAGCTGCGTGCGTGTGGCGGGGGAGTGGAGGGTACAGCCAGACGGAGAGAGGAAGGAAGCCGAGACGCAGCTGGCGCGCTTCACAGCCCTGCCCTCGGAACACACCCTTTGGGCGGGAATGCTGAGTGTGGAGCGGGAGAGGCGCGCGCGCGCGCTCAGCCTCCTGGGACGCGCCTAGCGGTGCCCCGGGCGCCTTTCCAAACGTGCCAACACTGGCCCTGGGCTACTGCGCCTGGCTTGACCGCCTCAGCCCGCGGACGCTCCTGTCGTCGTCGTCCCTCAATGCCCTTCTCTTCAGACGGCAGCGGCGCGCCCGCTTCCCGCTCGGCGGCGTCCTCCCTGCCTCCCTCCCTCCCTATAATAAAACCGCCGGAGGGAGTGGAGAAAGGGCGAAGGCGGCGACGCCGGCCGCGAGCCGCTCGGAGTCCCTCCCCTCTGCGCCTTATTCCCCGCCCTCGTCGCCTGCGGCTGCCTCCATTCACTACCGAGGAGGAGGAGCCGCCTCGACGCGTAGAGACGAGACCGCCTTGCTATGCAGCCAGCCCTGCCAGTTCCAGCCGTCGCCACCGGCAGCACCTTTTCGGCCCGCTCCTGAGATCGCGGCAGCCGGCGAGCGCGCAACTCGGCTTCACGCGCCATTCCTCGGCCGCCGCCACCGCTGCCGCGCGCTCCTTCTCTCTCCCTTTTCCACCAGCTGCTGCTGCTGCTGTCACCGTTTCACCAGGAATTTGACCGGGCGCAGGCGGGGTGAGTAACCGGGGTGACCCCCAGGCAGCGGTTTCTTCCCCAGCGCCTCTGCCCTTTCTTTCTCCTCCAGCCTCTATACATGCAGAGTTGGCTAGATCGCCTTGCTAGGATGCCTCTTTGAGCGGGAGAGTTGGAAGGCTCATCCGGAGAGGTGGGGAATCGGGGGGCGGGGGAAGCCCCGAGAACACGCGGGTCTGGCTCGCCCACATCTCTTTTTCTGAGCGAGATCGCGGTGCCTGGCTGGCTGGCTTTTCCGCCCGGCCCGGCCGCCTTATCACTGAGCGAACATGTGCTCCGGACCTCAGCCACATGCTACGCGAGGAATCCATTTTGCGAGCAGCGTGGTGCATGATGCAATATTTATAGTGTAAGTAAGTCACGGCGTAGAGGAAGTCGGAAGGGACGCCCTGCCTAGGTAGATCGAATCGGGGATCATGCGGCTGGGCTGGGGGTGTTCAGATCGCCTTTTCGTTTCTCTCCCCCCCCCCCGCAATTCCACCATCCCCTTTCCACATTGCGATTTCCAGAGGGTGGGCAAACTCTCCCCTTCCCCAACTGCGCACCGCAGGGATATGATGGGCTGATCTAATTTGGCTTTGGGAATGAAAGGCGTCCTGCCTTAAATGGCGCTTTTTTTGGTTCACACGTGTGTGTGTGTGTGTGTGTGTTGTTGCGGGAGGGGCGAGACATTACTACAGTGCATTTCCGTCTTTGGTCTTAAGTGTTTATGGAGGGGACTGCCCCAGGACTACAGTATTAGCATCTCTCATACTTTGGCTCGAGATATCCTTCTGATGCAATTCACCTACGGATTACGTTAGAAGTAGTGAGCCAGTTATTTACGGTAAAGAACCTTCTTGGCCTTCCTTGCCAATAATAGCAACGGAGCAGAGAGGCAGGGCTAAATAAATCCAAGGCATAAGATGTGTAGGAACTGCTGCTCAGACTCATGTGCTGAATTCTCTGCTTTTAGGTATCTGTTCTTCCATTTTTTGGGGTGTGTAATCAGATATTCCTCCTAGGTGCTAGATTCCTTGCTGCTTTTAAAGAAACCTAAAACTAGAACACAAGCAGTTGTAATGAAGCCCAGATAAGGCAAGACAGAATGCTTGTGTTTGCCCAGCATTTAAAGCCATAAAGTCGGTTTCAGTGACTTTCTCTTGCCTACTGCCTCTAAACTGCAGTGGAAATTTTGAATGTGATTTGGAATGCACGGATCCAGTTTGTTTGCTTAAGTTTCTAAGGGAAATTGCTGCTGTTAGGGGCAGGAAATCACATTAGGATAGTATCAAGGGATTGTTAATCACCCTTGATGTCTGATGGCTTTTTAAGCTAGCTGTTGTTGCCAGTTACTATAGTGGAAATATGCCACATTATTTATTTTTAAGAGTGAATGTACTGTACTTTCAAGAATCACAGTTGCTCTAACATAAAAGGAACAAGCCCTCAACAAATCCCTTCTAAACTCTTTGGCAGGTTTGCACTAACAGGGTGTCATTTGAAAGCCAATACTTAAGCAACTTTCATTTTTGCAAAGTTACTTATGGTGCTTGGATTCAAATTCTGAAGTATTGCAAGTAACCCATAGCGCTCTACTGCCAGACCAAAAGCTGCCTAGATAATCTGATACCCGAGCTGCAACACCGCTAAACCAGTGGAAGCCAGAGGAGAACTTTGCCTCACAGTTACTTCTAAGCGGCTGGATGATACTCTTGGCTTGTGGGAATTGGGTCATAAGGGTATAAGCAGCCCACGTCATCAGAATATTGCCCTTTCTAGGTCAGGATTGCATATCAGAAACCCAGTGTGACTCTTCAGGTCTTCAACAAGGGTATGTTATATTCTGCAATTTCCTTTATACTGAAAATTCTGGGGAATGACGGTACCGTGTCCGCTATGAAAAGCACATCCTCCTTTTTTGTTTGTATCTTGATATCATTGTGTATCTTTTAAGTTGTCCAGTTTTTAAAACAGACTTGTTTTCATTTACAGGTATTCTAGGTGGTGTTTTTTTTTAAAAAAAATTGACACATTAACTTGCGTTGAGTTTGCTTTGCAATAAAAGCTCTCTGAAGCAATGTTTAAAGTTGTTCCTCTTCTTGGTTTGCTGCTAAACTTTGCATGCTTTGTTGAAGCCAGAGTCACTGGATACAAATAACAAAGCAGTGCTAGCGTTTGGAATGTTTTAGTAACAGGTATCCAAAGTTTCACATACATGCTTGGCCTGGTCAACATTCCTTCTCCTTTGGCCACAGTGAACTGGTTGGGTTGTAACATTGCCATAGCCTTGTTTTGTGAGAACAAGCCTTATGTTTATGTTCTTCCTCCTTCCTCCAGTGTGGTCACGAAGAAGAGATCAGAAGCTTTTCATGTTTAGATGCAATTTAGCATTGTGTCTGAACCTGACAAACTTCACAATGATTGGACACAATTACAGATTACAATTTCTAGTTAATCAGGAACGGAAATCTTAAATCTCCTTTCTTCATCTGTGTGTGATGGGGAGTAGGGGGGTTCAGACAAGCCCAAGGCATGTAACAACAAACCATAGTTTCTTAAATCTGTACCATGCCCACAATATTAGCTGGTACCAAAATTTCGCAACTCCTGGAATGACCTCACCTGATGCTGAGATAATAAATAAAAGCAGTGTTAAGTGTGTGAACTGCTTCAAATTAATGAAAGCTTCCCTCCTTTTTATTACTTCTGCAATTATGATTCTTTTTATAATGATTATAAAATAATTATGGTGTAATTATATGAGAACAGCTTTGTTTCCACTTGCCTTTTGAGACATTTTGCCTGCAGATGCTTTCTTAGGAACCAATTCAAACAATGTTTTCTCACTCATTAGAATAATCTGTTCAGATGAGCAACATAGCACATGAGCTACTAGGTTGTGGGGCTCACAGGAGTATCTGAAATCTCCAGTATTCATTTCAGAATGTAAGGCGATTCATGCGTTACGATGGTCACACACAAATGGGGCTGTTCACCATACCTGTCAGCTGTGTGTTTGCCTGAGGAGCAACTGGCCTCAGGTGTGTTTCGTTGCTTTGATGTTGGCATGGGTCTTCTAAAACAGTGTTTCCCAACCTTTTTTGGGCAAAGGCACACTTGTTTCATGAAAAAAATCTCGAGGCACACCACCATTACAGCCCCGTGACGTCAGCGCGCAGCGCACGCGGATCCCACTTATTCTGAAGCTCGCACCACTAGCCAGGGCTCTCACACCGTGCCAGGGCGAGGCGGCGCGGCCCACTGACGTCATCGCGGCTCGCCGCCGCCCTCGACTTCCCTGTTCCCTCCCCTCCCTCGGGTCGCCGTGGTTACCGAGGACTGCAAGCTGCTCGGACGAGCGTGGGGCATTAAGTGGGAGAAGGAAAATTAAAATTAAAACTCGCCTGAAGGCCGCCTCTCCGGATACAGTGGTGCCTCGCAAGACGAAATTAATTCGTTCCAGAAGTCTCTTCGTCTTGCGAGTTTTTCGTCTTGCGATGCACGGTTTCCCATAGGAATGCATTGAAAATCAATTAATGCGTTCCTAGGGAAACCGCCTTCAGACCAGTTCCGGGGACAGTCTGTCCCCCGACCTCTTCTGAAGGCTGGGGGGGGGACAAGGGCTTTTCTTCCCACCCCCAGCATTTTAAAAAACCCCGGGACAGCGGAGGACTTCTCCGCTGTCCGGGGCAATCTTAAAATGCTGGCGGGCGGCATTTTAAAATCGCCCGGGACAGCGGAGGACTTCTCCGCTGTCCGGGGCGATTTAAAAGCCCCTGGGAAGGCAGGCAGGGGGGACAAAGATTTTCGCCCCCCGCCCGCCTTCAGAAGAGGTCCTGGACCTCTTCTGAAGGTGGGCGGGGGCGAAAGTCTTTGCTCCCCCCTGCCTGCCTTCCCGGGAGAGCGGAGAAAGGCAGCGCGTTTCTCCGCTGTCCCGGACGGCTTTTGAAGGCAGGCTTTTGAAAGCCGTCCGGGACAGCGGAGAAAGGCAGCGCGCCATTCCCGTTGTCCCCCGACTTGGCTGGAAGGCTGGCGGGGGGAGAAGCCTGCTCCTCCCCATCGCCAGCCCCGCAAACTCGGGGGACAGCGGGAGAGGCGCAGCGCGCCCTTGCCGCTGCCCCCCGACTTGGCTGGAAGGCTGGCGGGGGGAGAAGCCTGCTCCTCCTCATCGCCAGCCCTGCAAACTCGGGGGACAGCGGGAGAGGCGCAGCGCGCCCTTGCCGCTGCCCCCCGACTTGGCTGGAAGGCTGGCGGGGGGAGAAGCCTGCTCCTCCCCATCGCCAGCCCTGCAAACTCGGGGGACAGCGGGAGAGGCGCAGCGCGCCCTTGCCGCTGCCCCCCGACTTGGCTGGAAGGCTGGCGGGGGGAGAAGCCTGCTCCTCCCTATCGCCAGCCCCGCAAACTCGGGGGACAGCGGGAGAGGCACAGCGCGCCCTTGCCGCTGCCCCCCGACTTGGCTGGAAGGCTGGCGGGGGGAGAAGCCTGCTCCTCCCCATCGCCAGCCCCGCAAACTCGGGGGACAGCGGGAGAGGCGCAGCGCGCCCTTGCCGCTGCCCCCCGACTTGGCTGGAAGGCTGGCGGGGGGAGAAGCCTGCTCCTCCCCATCGCCAGCCCTGCAAACTCGGGGGACAGCGGGAGAGGCGCAGCGCGCCCTTGCCGCTGCCCCCCGACTTGGCTGGAAGGCTGGCGGGGGGAGAAGCCTGCTCCTCCCCATCGCCAGCCCCGCAAACTCGGGGGACAGCGGGAGAGGCGCAGCGCGCCCTTGCCGCTGCCCCCCGACTTGGCTGGAAGGCTGGCGGGGGGAGAAGCCTGCTCCTCCCCATCGCCAGCCCCGCAAACTCGGGGGACAGCGGGAGAGGCACAGCGCGCCCTTGCCGCTGCCCCCCGACTTGGCTGGAAGGCTGGCGGGGGGAGAAGCCTGCTCCTCCCCATCGCCAGCCCTGCAAACTCGGGGACAGCGGGAGAGGCGCAGCGCGCCCTTGCCGCTGCCCCCCGACTTGGCTGGAAGGCTGGCGGGGGGAGAAGCCTGCTCCTCCCCATCGCCAGCCCTGCAAACTCGGGGGACAGCGGGAGAGGCGCAGCGCGCCCTTGCCGCTGCCCCCCGACTTGGCTGGAAGGCTGGCGGGGGGAGAAGCCTGCTCCTCCCCATCGCCAGCCCTGCAAACTCGGGGACAGCGGGAGAGGCGCAGCGCGCCCTTGCCGCTGCCCCCCGACTTGGCTGGAAGGCTGGCGGGGGGAGAAGCCTGCTCCTCCCCATCGCCAGCCCTGCAAACTCGGGGGACAGCGGGAGAGGCGCAGCGCGCCATCCCGCTGTCTCCCGACATGGTTTGGAGGCTGGCGGAGGGCTTCCTCCTCTCCCAGCCCCGCAAGCTCCCAGAGCGATGCCAAAGCTGCGCGCAGCTTCGGCATGGCTCTGGGTCCCGTTCTGGGGGAGGGGGAAGCTCGGGCTTCCCCCGCCCCAGCCCCACGCCTGGCGGTGGGGGAATAATTTTTTTCCCCCTTTATTCCCCCCCCCCCCCGCCAATTTTTCCCGCGGCACACCAGGCAACGTCTGGCGGCACACTAGTGTGCCGCGGAACACCGGTTGGGAAACACTGTTCTAAAACTGCTCCAAGGAAGAAGGTGTGGGGGAACTAAAACAAGAAGATATGATAAAATAGGAAATCTTGATGAGGCATTCTGGCAGGAAATGCGCATCAACCTATACAGTGTTGGGACATGCAATAACCCTTTCAGTCTAGTTATGTCTTTGTTTGCTGAGAATTAACAGTGACCAGGTATACGGAGAATGTAGTTTTGGCTCTCTTCCTAATTAGCTGATTAGCCTTCTGTGAAAGTGACTCTTTCCCTACTCTGCTTACTTGTCTCATTAACTCTTCCTGCGTCAGTGCAGCCTGTTGGAACTCTGGGTCCTGTCCTGCCTTTACAGTGACCTCCCAATTCAGCCTTTAATTTTCTTTCCTTTCATGCTTTTGTTTGGGTTTGTTTTCCTTCCCATTATAGTGTTTCAGCTGTTGGAAACAAACTTGGTGATAGGTAAAGGATTAAAACAGAGAGTCTGCATCTCACTGCCACTTACTATTATGCCAGCATGCATAAGGATGTAGGAAGCTGGTGCACACTGAGGCAGATGGTGGATCTAGCTAGCCTGGGATTGTCTACACTAGCCCAGTGTTTCCCAACCTTGGGCCTCCAGCTGCTTTTGGACTACAAATTCCCATCATCCCTGACACTGGTCTTGCTAGCTAGGGATGAGGGAGTTGTAGTCCAAAAACAGCTGGAGGCCCAAGGTTGGGAAACACTGCACTAGCCTTCCCCAAACTGGTGCCCTCCAGATGTTTCAGACTACAACTCCCATCAGCCTCAGCCAGCAGGCTAGTCTATACTGATGGGCAGCTGGGTTCCAGGCAGGTGTCTTTCCTAGCCCTGTGTAGATGAACTTAGGATATTCTGCATGCAACTTATGTGCTCTAGAGTTGAACTATGGGCCTGCCTATAAATATCTATGTGTTGATGCAGAGCCAGCCCAGGGTGCTTTGGCTGCTTGAGGCAACCCTGCTGCTGGTGCCCAACAGTGCCTCCACCACGGATGTGCCCTACTGCTCTTGTGCAGTGCCACAAGCTAGGTTGGCAATTGGCTCCTTAAACCAAGGTTACAGTTGCCAGAATGAAATGCCTCATTTTGGGGCCAGAGGGCTCGAAAGTCATATTTTTTAATACGACTTTTGAGTTCCTGAAATTCATTCTGATTGTGCAGATAAAATATAACGGATAGCATTCTGAAGGATGTGTTGTTAGTGTGTGAAAACAGCCAAGATCCAAGGATCCCTA